CTGTGTAGTCGGTGGACAGCACGTGGAAGCCCAGCACTCCCCTCACTGCAAGGGAGCCACAGGCCGCCTTGGCTTGACACAGGCCCTGCTGCCTGGCCCAGCACCGCACCCCGGGGCTCCCGGCCGGCCCAGTCCCAGAGCCCTCGCGGCCCAGGCGGAGGAGCACCAGGCCGTAGCTGTAGTCGGTGGACAGCACGTGGAAGCCCAGCACTCCCCTCACTGCAAGGGAGCCACAGGCCGCCTTGGCTTGACACAGGCCCTGCTGCCTGGCCCAGCACCGCACCCAGGGTCTCCCGGCCGGCCAAGTCACCCAGAGCCTGACGCCCGACCCCGTGTCCACCCTGCCCACCATCCGCTCCGGGACACCCTGTCCAGTTCCCCGTGTCCCCACCCGGGCCCCACCTACGGGTGTTCCTGAACACGGCCTTCTTCTTGTCTTTCCGCAGGCTCACCTCCTGGGACTGGCAGCCCCGAGACCTGGGGAGGGGGGTGTGAGCTCAAGGTCGGGGAGCCCCTGCCCCCTGTCCCCGCGGACCAAGTCCGCCGCCCTCAGCTCCCTGGGGCCTGGGGCCCAGGACAGGGCTGTGGGTGGGAGTGGGGGCGCAGGTTTGGATCTGGAGGCTCTGCTGTCCAGAGTGTCCAGTGTGGACAGGGCCTGCCTGCAGCCGGGAGGAGACACACAGGACCCAGCTTCCGCTGGACTCCCCTGGCTGCTGGCACCTCTCCCAAACCCGTCCTTTGGTTTCAGAGTTGGCAGAGTTGGGCATCTTTGTGGACCCCTACACTGCCCACCCCTTCCCACCCCCAAACAGTCTGCACAGGGTGTCAGGGGCCACTCCGGCTCCCCTCACCGGCTGAAGGCAACGGTCACCAGCAGCCGGCCCGTTCTGTGCACCTGCACCACGGCTGCCCCCAGCTTCCTCTTGTCTCTGGCTGGCAGGAAGCCCGGGGCGTCGGTGGCGACAGCAAGAATGTACCAGAACCCTGAGAACTGCAGGCACAGGAGGCCAGGGTTAGAGCCTCCCTGTGGTGTGGTCCCTAGACTCCGGGCTGGAGGGCTCAGCACAGTGACCTTTCCCGAGGCCCAGCCCTCGGCCCTGCCCAGCCCCAGCTGCCCATGCCAGGCAGAGGAGAGGCTGGTGCCCAGCTGCTCAGGGACAAGGGCTGAGCCATGGGCACCAGCAGGTCAGAGCCCCCGCCCCCTCACAGGCCAGGTCCTCCACCGGGGCCTCCTGGGGCCCAGGGCCGCCCAGCCTCCCCTGACCTCTCGCCCCCTGGCGCTTCCTGCCACAGGCCCTAGAGCTCCAGGCTCTTGGGAGCGCTGACCCCTTGGCCACCCAGTGCCACTCCACCCAGAACCCTCTGCCCAGTGTGTTCTCACTCCCACTGCCCTGCTGGCCATGCCTGGCCCATCTTGTGGTCCCTGTCACTCCCGGCTGCAGCTCTCTGGGACCCTTACCCTGCCCTCCTCGGGCTCTCAGCCCCTTTGCCCTGCACCTCCTGGGCTCCCTGTGTGGGGACCATGGGGACAGAGCCCAGGAAGCAGCCCTGGACTGGCCGGAGCCCCTGCCCTGCCCTCCCGCTGGACACATCTGCCAGCCCTGCCCGTGGCATGCTGGCCCCTTGCAGCCCTGCACCTGGCTGGATGCCAGTGCCCACATGGCTCACCTTGCCCCATCAGCCCCTTTGCCCTGCACCTCCTGGGCTCCCTGTGTGGGGACCATGGGGACAGAGCCCAGGAAGCAGCCCTGGACTGGCCGGAGCCCCTGCCCTGCCCTCCCGCTGGACACATCTGCCAGCCCTGCCCGTGGCATGCTGGCCCCTTGCAGCCCTGCACCTGGCTGGATGCCAGTGCCCACATGGCTCACCTTGCCCCAGTTGAGGTTCTGGGACTCCTTGGAGGGGTGCTCCTGTAACTGGATCCCTGCGGCCAGGACCAGGGCCAGGGCCAGGGCCAGGCTGGGCAGCAGCCTCATCCTCGTTGCTCTCAGCCGAGCGAGGCCCAGGCTCTGTGTTTTCATCCTGTCCTACCTGCTGTGGGCGTCCATCCCACCCAGGGCACTGAGCCAGACTGGGTCACGGGGAGGACCCGCGGGGGGGTGGCAGGTGTGGCCTGGGTTCCGTGCCTATTCCAGCAGAGCTGGCCTGGCCATCGCTGGCTGCCATGGATGTGACCCATGTGGAGGCCCCAGAGACACCATTGTGTTCCCGGAGGCCCTGCTGAGACTCTGGTCCCCGTGCCCCTCAGTGCTGTGGGCCTGGGCTCACCCATGTCTCTTGTGTTGTCACAGCTCCAGGCCACCTCCCCTGGCAGCGGCACCCCTGCCTCTGTCCCAGCCCTCAGATGAGAAACAAAGGGCCGGGCATCCCTGGCACTGCACAACAGGTGTACTACGTGGGTGCCACCAGGGCCCTGGGTGCAGACTTTGGGGCTGTCTTCTTGAGGCCACCATGCCTGAGCAGGTACCAAGGGGCAGCACACCGTTGTGTGTGCGTGTGCTCACACAAGCAGGCAGGGCACACGTGTGCACACATGCATGCCCATCCTCACACCTAATGTGAGCTGCAGCTTGTCCCACCCACTTCCAGCCCAACTGTCCCCTTCTTGGGGCCAGGGGGACTCTCAGGCTCAGGCCCTTGGGTATCCCTGACCCCCAAGCCAGCAGCAGCCAGAGCCCAGGCAGAGGAGGCCAAGTTTGGGCACAGGCAGTTCCCTCATGCCTGGTAGTGTATGGTCCCCGTGATACCCAGCCATGGGCTCCAGTGGACACCAGGACTGGCCTCATGGTCCAGCACCAGCCCAGGGTGTGCCCTGCCCTGGGAACTCCTCCCCAACCCCATGATCAGCGAGTCCCTGAGGGAGGAGCAGCTCCACACCCAGACCCAGAGGGCTCTGGGGAGAGAGGCAGTTACAGAGAGTTCCTTTGTCCCAGACCTGGATCTAGGCTGATTTTGACCTCTGGGGATGTCCCTGACCCTCCCTGCATGGCCTTCCAGCTCCTCTGCATGCTCCAGCACATGCGGCAGGGCCCCAGTCTGGACACAGGGGCAGGTTTGCTGTGGAGTCTCTTTATTCCGAGCCCAGAGAGCCTACAAGAACAGCCAGCCCAACAGCAGCTCCTCAGCCAGTCCAGGATGCTGCTGCACTTTCGCCCCTGTGCTCACTGGAAAAAGGAGGCGCCCTGGGTGCCAGCTCCCCAGACAGACGTCCACCCCCACCCTGCCTCCTTCACAGCAGCCACCACCCCATGGGCTTGACTGAGGGACCCCCAGGTCACCAGCCTCCCCCCCAGGGAACCAGGATGGTGCAGAAGGGGGTTCACCTGCAGGATCCTGTGTGCGCAGGTGACTGGAAGGGAAGGGGGTGGCCCTGAGGACAGCGCTACGGGGCCCCAGCGCCCACCCTGCCCACCGGCCCACCTGATGGGGCCGGCCCTGCAGGCCTGACTGTGGGTGGGGTGGTTGATGCCAGGAAGTGGCCCCACCAGCCCCATCACAGCCCTGGACATCAGAGCCACCTGGCCCCTGCCCCCGTGGGCACTCACAGTCCCTCTGTAGCTGGGCCCGCTGCTGGGACCAGAAGCCCAGGCCACTGCTCCACTTGGTGAAGAGCCGCATGGCTTCCTCGCTGGCCGTCTCTGTCCGACCTGGGGCAGGAGAGGCTCTGAGAGCCTGAGCAGGTGGAGAGGGCCCTGCCTGGGGACAGTGTCTGGAACCTTCTGGGGGTGCCCTAGCACAGCGAGCCTAGGGGGGCAGGGAGAAGCCCGTGTCCAGCACTCACTGTACAGAGCTACGGTGTTGAAGTCCTCCTCCCCAAACTCGAGCTGGGTGAAGACGATGGCGTAGTCTCTGAAGTTGGTGCCCAGAACCCGGTACTCCAGCACTCCCAGAGCTGGAAATCAGATGCCCCAGGCAGGGCCCAGCCTCTGTGACACCCTGGCCCTGGAACTAGGCCACCATGGACAAAGGGCAGACTTGGGGACACCCAAGACAAGGGGGTTACCCATCTGACCCCGGGTCCTCTGCGCACCAGTCGCGGCTCGGCCTTGAGTGACAGGCTTAGCTGGGCCTCTCTCATCCTACCTGGCCCTTGCACCCAGAGATGGGCTGGGACCTCGGCTGGGCCCCCAGGACATCTGGGCTGGCCTGGGGGTCATAAGGCCCAGGGACCTCTCCCACCCTCAGGAGGGGCACTGAGACTGCTGAAGTCGGACCCTATAGCTCAGGCCTCAGGCCAGCTCTGGCCCTGCAGCCAGGACCATAGGATGCCACCGGGCTGACCCCACCAAGGCCCCCGCCAGCACCAGTGCCCTGGTACTCACAGGGGTTCTGGAACACCCATCCCGAGTCCTGCCTCTGCAGCTCCACCACACTTTGGCTGCAGCCCTCTGGCCTAAAACGAGAGGGCCCGCACCACCAGCTCAGAGCCAGCCACCAGGGCACATGGGTGCTGGGAGTTCACACCTGGCCAGCAGCCAGTGCCCAGGTCCCCAGAAACTCCACTCTGGGGACACATCTGGAGGGACCGGAGAAGCCACAGCAGCTTCCTCAGCTCCCAGGGACTCAGGATGCCAAATCGGGGTGAGCAGAGCACAGAGGCCACCTGAGGCGCACAGGGAAGTTAGGCCCCAGGCATGCCTAAAGCCCTCAGCCCTGGGAGGGCCTTGTCTAGAACACAGAGGGGCACATCTTAAAGAAAATGAGTAAAACAGACAAAAGGGACAGAACAGAGATGCCAGAGAGAAAGTCAAGTCAGTGGGAAAGACACAACTCAACAAACTAGGTTGGGCCATCACTCGGTCATGAGTGCTAATCACACTTTTCCCCAGCTTCGTCAAAGACACTGCACCACTTGCTCAAGATTGAGTTTTGAGATCTGCCAAAGAACTTCCTATTAAAGGTTAACAAACAAAATCCAAGCCAAATCAACCACCAGTTGCCTCACCTGCCCCGTGAGTCCCAGCCCCGGCCCTGCCTGCCTGCAGCCCTGGGCTCTCAGGTGCCAAGCGTCCAGTTTGGGTGCCGGATTCCAGCAGCCCCACCAAACTCACCCAGCCCTTGCTTCTGAGCCAACCCAAGGGCACCTGTGGCCCCACTTTGGTAGAAGCCACTGATGGGGAAGCCCCACCTGCACCCACACCTACAAGGCCTGGCCAGGTCGACGGAGCTGCTTAGGGTGCCTGGGGAGGAGGGTGGCACTGGGGGAAGGGGACAGTGCTCCTTTCCAGCCCCACATCTGCTGTGGTGGCCCAAGACTCCCTGCACAGCCCCTCATCTGGTGGGAAACGCTGGCTGGGCCTCCCAGCCCATGACAGGGCCCTGGCCCTCTCCCATGGAAAGGGATGCTGGTGCCAATGCCACTAGTCCCCCACTGCTGCCCCTGGCACTCTGGGGCACATCGGTGGCCAGCTGAGCCCACGCAGCCAGTGTGGCACACAGCCTTGGCGGTCTCTTCTCGTGGAGTCCAGGGCCTGTGGGTCCACATGCAAGGCCCACTTGAGCCCATCCCTCAGAAAGGACTCAGAGGGAAGGGGCCCCAGCAGGGACAGATGCCCCAGCTGACCAAGAACCAGGAAGCAGCGAGCCTGGCGCCCAGCAACACAGATGCAGAGGTGGGCAGCGGCAGGGATCGCAGGGCAGAGCCAGGGAGAAGAAATGTAGGGACACAGGTCAGGAGCAGAAGCAGGGCCCACAGGGCCTTGGGCTGAGTGGGTGGCGTGGCCCAAGAGGAAACCTGTGCCAGGCGTAGGCGGGAGCTGCCCACTTACCCACGCCAAGAGGACAGCAGCTTGAGCGTTCTGTCTGGTGTGAGCGTCACCACCACACCCTCCACACTCCTTGTGTCCTTCTCCAGCACAAAGCCCTTCTCACGGGAGGCCACAGCAAGGATGTACCAGGGTCCCAGCAGCTGCGTGGAGGCCAGCAGCAGAGAAGTCCTAGCTGTGTTGCCCAGGGCATCCTTGCTGTTGGGGAGTCCCAGGCCCCTTGTGCAGCCTGGGCCCCACCCCCATGCTGATCTGGCTTGGCCCTGGGGGACCCAGGAGCTGAGGGGCCTCGCACCCCAGGGCCACCCTGCTACAGGGTGGGGAGGGCAGTACCTGCTGGGGTTCCAGGCTCCCCAGCCACACTGCCTGAGCCCCGGGCATGGACACCAAAGCCAGGAGAGTGGTTAGCTCGGCCAGCCCCATCCTGCCAGAGGTCCAGGAGCCACTCGCCATGGCAAGGACCTGCCCTGCTCTAGCCAGGAACTGTTTATATGGCTCTGTCCACCTCCACGTGGGTGGCCCTGACCACAGACACCGGCCTGGCCACTCTTCGTGCAGGGTGAAATGACCCACAAGGCCCTCATTATGCACAGTGGCCCCATGCCCAGTCCACTCCACAGCAGGGCTGGGAAGAGCCCTGGGGATGCGCAGAGCCCCGCCAGGAGACCAGGCAGGCTCATGAGCTCTCTTTACCCACCCCAAGTCCCAGAATGGGTATTTTACACCCAGCCACCACAGTCCCCTTCCCGGGCTGGTGCTGTCCCCGCTGGGCCTGGGAAGTCCCTGGACACTGCAGAGTCAAGCCAGGGGCAAGGCCAAGTCCGCAGCCAGGTGCAGGCTGGTTGGGAACACGGGGCCATCCAGGAACCGCGGCCCACAGGTCTTCGTTCCCATCGCTGGACACGCGCACGGCCGATCCCCACGCCCACTGGGCCTCCCACCGTTCTCAGCCTGCCGTGACCCCACAGCTGGGCCCTGGCGGGGTCGTCCCGTTCCTTCTGCCCCCATGGACCTGCCCACTCTCCAACCAGCTCCAGCCCTGCAGCCCAGCTCTCCCCAAGTCCTGGCCTGTCTGTGCCCCCCAGTCCCCCAAGAACCGCCTGCACCCTGCGCCTCCCAACCCAGGTCATGGGAGCCCCTGTCAGGGAGCCTGGCGGGGTCTGAGCCCGGGAAGCTGAGGGAGGGGCTGGGGTCTGTAGCTCCTTCCCAGGCCTCAGCCCGCCCTGACCACCCACTGGGCTTCATCATCAGCAAGGACCCATGGAGCAAGGGAGGAGGCTGGGGCTTTGTGGCCCACAGGAGGCTGCCTGCACACCTTGTAGGCCACCCTGACCCCAACCCAGCCCACTTCTGGCTGCAGCAACAAGCAAGGCTGTGGCCTAGTCTGTGAGGGCCATGGCCAAGGGCAAGGGAACAGAACCAAGGGGCAGGTGGATCTCAGATCCGGAGGGTGGGACAGCAGGGGCCCAGACTCACCAAGACCTCACCCACCAGCCTGTAGAGGACTGAGAGGCTGGCTCTCAGCAGAGCCACCTCAAGCCCAGAGTCGGGTGCCCAGGAGTGGGGACACAGGACTCTAGGGGGAAAAGCCAGGCTACCAGCTGGAAGCTGCAAGGGGCATCACCAGGTGCCCTTGTGAAGCAGGGACCCCGAGGTGGAGGAGAAAGCACTGGGGCCCTGGACGTGCGGGGGCCGACTTGGTCAGGGCAAGTTCAGCTCCCTCCGGGCCCTAAGGCAGGGCAACTGTAGAAGTCAGACTGCAGCCGCAGTCACTGATCCAGTCCTGGCCAACTCGGCCCAACTGTTCCCGGGATCGATGGCCTCCTGGACTGTCACCAGAGCCGGCATCAGGCTTCCCTGGTGTCTGACGAATGCAGCCTCCTCTGGGTCCCACTGTGGGTAGCCAGGTGGCCTCCACGGTCAGCAGGTTGTCCTTGGCTGTCTGCTGCCAGTTGCTGGTCTGAGCTCAGCCTCTATGGCCAGCTCCAGCCGGATCCAGTCTCTCCGGGTCCTGTATGTGTCTGCTCCACCACGGGTTCCAAAGCTGCAGTGATCCCAGGAGCAGCCTGGCTCCTGCTCCACCCTGTCCCTGTGAGCAGCCTCTCCACTCCTGTTCCCCCAGCTGAAGCCCTGCCCTCCCTGCAGGCATCCTCTTAGGGCCCCAGCTGGTGAGACCTCCTTCCCTGGGGTCTCTGAGGCCCTGGTTGTCCTCATCCTGGCAAAGCACCTAGGGGCCTTGGGCTCCTCCTCAAGAAGCTGGGGTGGGATGGGACAAGCCCTGCCCTCAGTGGCAACGACTCCCGGCTGCAGCAGTCGCTCTGTCTCCATGGCTACTCACAACACCAGCCGTCTTGCATCCGTCCACCTTGAATGACCACACCGTCTGCACCTAGCCAGAGCAGGGTCCTCTCACTCTCCCTTAGGAACGCACACCAGCTGCTGGATGGGCTTCCTGTCCCCCTGGCCTCATCCATGTGGTGGCCACGTGCTGTTCTTGGGGTGTCAGGCAGCCACCACCCTTCCAGCACAGGTGGCGGGGTGCGGAGAGGCTGCACACCTCTGAGGAAGCAGTGTGCACCGCCACCTGTCCAGGGGACTCCCGCTGCTTCTGGGGCCAGCCAGGGGAACTGAGGACAGAGAGACACCATCCAGGGCCATGGCTCTACCCCCAGTGCTGTGGGCCGGAGCTTGCACCCCAGAATTCACACTGAAGCCCTCACCCCAGCAGGAAGGTATGACAGGTAGAGGCTGAGGCCTAATGAGAACAGATAAGCAGGGTCTCATCTCCCACCAAAAGGGACAGACAACCCTATCACCAAAACACCATCCATTAAAGAAAATTTACAACCAACCACAGTGTCACACGTCTATGATACCAGCACTCTGGGAGGCTGAGGCAGGAGGCTCACAAGTTTAAGCCCACCCTGCTTAGCTTAGCAACTTGACAAGAGCCTGTCTCAAAAAACACACAAATAAATAAGGCTGGGATGCAGGTTGGCATGAAGGTCCTGGTTCAATAAGAAAGAAAAGGAAAGTTTATATCTACACATTAATGGATGCATATAAATTCAGAATCATAAACCACAAGTTAGGCTGGGCATGGTGGCACACACCTATGATCCCAGCACTCAGGAGGCTGAGGCAGGAGGATTGCTGTGAGTTTGAGACCAGCCTGGACTACTTAATGAGTTCCAGGTCAGTCCCAACTACATAGTGAGACCCTGTCTCCCCCCACCAAAAAAAAAAAACATAAACTACAAGCTGCCAATCCTGTTCATGAAGTGAAAAAAGAAGTCATCTTTATCATTTCTTAGCTTCTACAAAAAGAAACAAAATAAGAATTTAAAACACTTTGGCTGATAAAAATGGCCCCACTCCAAAAAAAGAGGAAAACTGTAGCAAGACTCCAAATGGAGTTAAATACACAAAGGCGAATATTTAAGGGTATTAAAAGAAAATCTTGAATGAGGAGTGTTTTAAAGGTGGCAGAAGAAACAAACAAATAGGAAAAAGTGAAATGAGTTGATGTGCTCAGAAAGAACTAAGTACTGGACATTAAGGTAAAGGACACTCTGGGGTCCCTAGGTAAGAGACCAAGGTCAGCTCAAGGTGAGAGATATGAGCCCGACACAGGCAGAGCGGGCGGGACACCCTGGAGCAGGGCTCATGGCCCTGACCACAAGGGAGGCGGAGTGATGCAGAGGGATGAGGACAAGGAGGCCAGCGTACGTGAGGAGGCCGTTTGTGCAGATTCACACTTATCATCACCTCTCATTAGCAGGGAGCAGCATGCCCACAAAATGACCACTTATCAGGCTGCAGAGAAAGTGTCTGCACACTTGTTAAAGCAGAAATTCCCCGACCGACCTTCAAATTGGAGGCTGCCGATGGTTGTGTGGACACCCCAGAGCAGGCACGGGGTTCCGCGAGGCAGGACCAGAGCCTGACTGCAGCGGGGGTGGCTGTGTCCACTGCGGCACGATGGGCCCGGGAGGTCGAGGACATTCACAGCGGGCTTGTCCCTCCCTCATCTCTGCCACCTCAGGGTGAGCGTCCCAGCCGCTTCTCCAGCACGGGGGCAGGGGCAGCAGGAGCAGAGAGGGGACCGTGGGTGACACTGAGATGCCTCCTGTTGGAGCAGCCCGGAGAGTGACCGCAGCAATCTGAAAGATGCTGGGAGGACACTGGGGCAGGCTGTCGCTGTCCTTCCTCAGGGGGCCACGGGGGAACACAGGGCAATGGAAGGGTCTTAACAGCTTCCCCAGGAAGGGGAAGGCAGGTGCTTTTCAGCTGCCTCAACTCCACTGCCGTCCCGCTGTCCATGTCCACACCCTGCCATCAGGCTACAAGCTGCAGCAGTCACTGTGGGGAGACCAGGGAGCTGTGCCAAAGCCACACAGCCACATCCCTATGATCCAACACCCCCGCCTCCGGAGCTTTCATGCTACATTACCTGTCTGAGGAAACCCACAGGAGACACCTTCCGACCCACAGAGAAGCAGCAACAGGGACTGCGTCCCATCTCGTCAGCTGGAGCAGCCTATGCCGCCCTGGGGAGTAGGGAGGTGGTGAGAGCACAAGGAGGGCGGACAGGGGATCAAGGTGCCAAGGCACAGAAAGTGGGTAAGACGGACAGCCAAACAACAGCATGCATGCTTCTGCTTAGTTCTGCAGAAAGAAGCGCAGCAAGGCTGAGTGGGAGTCTTCAGGGCTCCCTGGAGGGGGTGGGCCTGGCATGGGATGGAGAGCGACTCCTCTGAGGCCATCTAATGGCTGGGGTGCTGAAGATAAAACAAAGGTGTCCCTAGCATGGACTACAATCACCATACAAATACACGGTAGAGCCCAGTAAAGGAGACAGGAACTTTCCAGAGGTGTTTTTCTCTGTATCTTCATGGAGAACAAAGGAACTGAAGGCAGCTCAAGGCTGCAGCTGGCAGGTGGGTTCCACTGCGCTGGGAAGTGGTACCGGACCTGCTGGGAATGTGCTCTGGGACCATAGGTGTCTGTGTGGAAAAGCAGGCCATAAACCAGAAATCCAGAAAGGGGAATGGAAGTGGACCTGTCGTGGTGGACAGGACTCGCAGGAGTCCCCATGAGCTCTGGTTCTGGTACCGATGGGAGCAAGGGAAGGATGGGAGGGAGAGAGCCGGCCAGGCCCGTGTCACTGAGAAGGGTTAGGCATGACTTCTCCCTGATAAAGGAAAGCCCGGCACACCTGGCTTGGGTTCTTGACACCATTCCATGTGAAAAGGAACCGGGACTCCTGGCAGAAATTATTCTCACACTGTGTCACAGAAAACAGAGAAGAGCTGGGGATCAGTTTTGTGCCAGAGTAAAATGTGCTCCAGAAATCAGGGTAGTGTGGCCAAAAATGTGGTGACAAAGGGGCTAAAATTCTCAGCCCTCAGACTTCTCTACTGACAGACACTGCCCACCCTCATATCCCGCAGAATCGTGTGGCCCTGCACTGACAATAACTAGAAACAGCACATAAAAACAAGCACAAAATCACTCTCCTTCCAATGAACGAATGCCCCACCTTTCCAGAAAAAGTGGAAATGTACAGAAATCCTTAGCTAAGTCTGAAGGGCCTTTCATGAGACCTCAGTGAGGACACTACTGTTTACTCCTTTGGTGTACCACTTTAGAAATGCTAAGTGCATTCCTGAAAGACCAAAAGGCCGACATCCCAGGAGAAATGTTCCCACCCCATGGCCTCTGGGAGGCTCTCAGCCCTTCTCTTCCCCCTTCAGACTGGGACTATGCCATGGCTTTGTCCTCAGCTTCGTGGACACCTTTTCCTTGTCATCTGTTAGTAAGTTCATCTTTTCAATGTTCACTTCATTCATTGTGCTTTTCAGTTCTACAATTTCCGTTTATATTTCCCATTTCTTTGCTGAATTTCCCTATCTGTTCAAAGTTTGCTAAGGGAGATGCTTTTCCATGTCTTCCATCCTTATAAAAATGCCAATCTCTCACTTTGACTACATTTTCTCTCTTGGAAACTCACCCACGATCCCACTTGACAGTGAACCCTGATATGAATAAACTTGTGCCTTATAGAATCCTTGGCTACTGGTAAATTCTTTTAACACCTGTGTCACTGGCCCTCCATCTGGCATAGCAAAAAAAAAAAAAAAAAAA